CTAACTGTCTTGTTTATTTTGTGATTATAGCATCCTAAAATTCTTAGATTGTAAAGCTCTGTATCATGTACTGGCTGAACGGGTACAGCATGCAAGTGGAACAAACCCTACAGACCCTGGGGAGAATGAAAGTGGGAGAAAGACTGGAAGTGTGCTTTGAAGCAGGGGATGCCCTGCTAGTGATGCTGATCAAATCCACTGCTGGCATGTTCCTTCTCTCTCCTTTTCTGTGGCTTGCCATCTCTCAAGGGTCAGATAGTAATAGCATACTTGCTTAGGGAGATTCTGCTTCCCACTTAATGGAATCATCTAAAATTTTAGAGTGACACGGTGGTTATGTTGGACCATGATGTTGGGGTATCAATAGGATAGATGTTAGGGAGTAGCATGATAGGGTGACATCACTGGGAGTGATGTTGGAGTACCACAGGGATTTAACGTGAATGACTGGTTCTGGGGTGAGAGCGTTGGGGTGACACTGGGGAATGACAATGTTGGAATAATGCTGAGGGTGGATATTGTGGTGACGGTGAGGGGTGACATCAGGAAGTGACTCCAGGGTGACATTGTTGGGTTGGCACTGGTGGGTGATGTTGGGATGAAAGGGGGGTGATGTGAAGGAGTAATGCTGGGGGATTGATGCTGGAGCATCCCTGGGGGGTGACATCAGGGAGTGTTGGCGCTGATATTTGGAATGAAATAATGAGATTTTGGGAACACAATATGGGGTGAATTAGCAAGGACGTGAACCTGGAGTTTGGTGTGAAATATTGATGGTTTGTGTCTGGAATATGACATGAAATGGGCTTTGGAGCTTATTTGGATGGCAGTTTTCAGCGTAAAAAAATGCTCTTTACAGTTTCCTTGCAGGAAGAGAATAAAGAAAAGTCTGCTTTCACACAGGAGGGGATATGATATACCTTTAGCTGATTCCCACAGGGGTGTACATATTCTCCCACTACTGCTCAAGCCACCTCAGTGAACTTTGACAGAGTTTCACTGCCTTAGGATGTGTATCCATGTGTAGATGATATTTAATTGCAAGCTCATATTCTGGAAAGGTGGGGGAAGTTGCAGCAGCACTAGATGACTGAGAATTTGAGATTCCACCTGCAAACTGTCAGGGGCTAAGTAAAGGAGTGAAACTTTAAGGCAGCAAAGGCCAGCAAAATTGTGCAGACTTGACTGAACCAAAGCGGAGATATGGGAAACCAGTGTGAACAGAAGCAAAGCTGTGCAAAATCTTACAAAACCACGTGAACTTCATGGAATCTCAGTGAAGACCAGTGATCCTGCAAAGTCTTCAGTGAACCAGGGCGGACTTCTGCAAAGCCCAGTGAAGATCCACAAGCCTGTACAAAAATACCGTGAATCCGCATGGACAGTACAAGGAACCCAAGTGAAAACCCACAACATCGTGCATCCTTTGCTTTATTCAGGTTTATTATCTGGCAATGCAGCCCAGCTGGATAAGGCTCTTGTAGACTGGTAGTATTTTCTTCAGGAACACTGAAATCTGAATCAGTGGGACATCGTCCATGATCTATTATCCAACTCTTACCTTCTCCTCCCCTGGTTTCTCATTGCCTGAGCACTTCAGGTTCACAGAAGATGAAAATGAAAAGAAAAAAGGAAAATGGAGGAAAAAAAAAAAAAAAAAAAGGAAAACGGAAACGAAAAAAGGGGAATAAAAATGAAAAAAGGGAAAAGGAAAGGAGAAAAGAACGATGTAGAAAAAGAAAGAAAGAGAAATAACTAGAATTATTAAAAGGAACATTATTAGAAAAAGAAAAAAGAATTTGAAATACAATGAGGACAGGAAAAAGGCAAGGAAAAAGACAAAATAATTGGAATTAGGAAAATAAATAGAAAACGAATTGGAAATAGAACTAGAAGAAGAATTGGAAAAGGCAGAGGAAAAAGAACTGGAATTAGAAAAAGAATTACAAAAATGAAAAGGAAAAAGAAAACCAATTAGGGAAAAAAATATTAGAAAAGGAAAAAAATCAAGAATTAGAAAAAGCAGAAGAATTAGAAAAAGAATTAGGAAATAAGACAAAAAGAATTAGAAAAAAAAGTAAGAAACAGAAAAACAAGAAAAGGGGAGAAGAAAAAGGTGAAGAAAATATTATAAAAATAATTTGAAATAGAAAAGAAAGAAAATAATTAAATTAGAAAATGAAAGAGAAAAACAATTAGAAAACAAAAAAACGAGGACAAATTAGGATTAGAATGAGAATTGGAAAAAGATAAGGAACTGGAAAAAAATGGGAAATGAGAAAGAATTAGAAAAAAATATTAGAAAAGGAATTGGAAAAGGAGCTAAAAGTAGAAAGACAAAAAAAGAGGGAAAAAATAAAGGAAAATGGAAAAGTGAGAAAAAAGTCTAGAAAAAGAACTAGAAATAGAACAATGAAAAATAATAAGAAAAAAGAGAATAATTAGAAAAAATAGAAGAAGAATTAGAAAAAGAATTAGAGAGAGAAAAACAAGAATATGGAAAAGAAGATGAAAAGAAAAGGAATTGGAAAAAGAAAAGGAATTGTATAAAAAGGAATTGAGAAAAGAAAAAATGGAAAAAAATAGATGAAAAATTGGAAAGAACTGGAAATGGAAACAGACCTGGAAAAAGAATTGGAAAATGAAAAAGAAGAGAAACGAAACAAAAGCACTAGAGCAAGAGAAAGAATATGAAAAGAAAAGGAATTAGAAAAAGAAAACCAATGGATAAAGAAAAAGGAGAAGAATTAGAACGATAATTGGAAAAGGAAAAAACTTCAAAAAGAAAAACCTGGAAACAGAAAAAGAGCTGGAAAAAGATTGAGAAAAATAAAATGAATTAGAAAAAGGAAAAATATAAAGAAAAAATAGAAAGATAACAAGATTTACAATGAAAAGTAGAAAAATATTTAGAATCTGAAAAAAAAGAAACAATCAAAAAGAACAGAAAAAAATAGAAAATGAATTAGAAAATTCATTTAAAAAATTAGAAAAAATTGGAAAATGTAAAAGAAAAAACTGAAACAGAAAAATGAAAAAGACATGGAACAGGGAAAAGATGTGGAACAGGGAAAAGAAAAAGTACCACAATTAGAAAAAGAGTTGGAAAAAAATTGAAATAGAAAAAAGAAAGACTTAGACTGGGAAAAGGACCACAAAAAAGGCTTGGAAAAAGAATTAGAATTAGAAAAAGAAAAAACAAAGAGCAGGAAACGAATTAGAAAAAGAATTAGAGAAATCATTAGAAAAGGAAAAAGAAAATTAGAACACAAAAAGTATTAGAAAGACCAAAAAGTATTTTTTTTAAAAAAAGAAGAAGAATTAAAATTAGATTGAGAAATGGAAAAAGGAAATAAAGAGGAATTGGAAAAAGAAAAAGAATGAGAAAAAGAAAAAAATAGAAAAAGAATTAGACAAATAGTTTGAATTAGACAAAGAATTAGGAAAAAAAAAATAGAAAATGATCCAGAAAGAGAACACAAGAACTACAATTTGAAAAAGAATTGGGATTCAAAAAAGAAAAAAAAAATGAAATAGAAAAAGGAAAAAGACTTGCAATGAAAAGAAAAACTTGCAACAGGAAAAAGAAATAGGAAAAGAATTAGGAAAAAAAATTAGAAAAACAAAGCAGATTAGTGTCTTGCTCCAATTTATAGGAGGGAGAGGAGGTTCTTTTATTATCTATATACCCGGCGTGAGATTAAGAAACAACAGTTCAAATGTTGGTCCGACCAATTTATTACAAATCGTAATTAGGGAAATGGGGAAGGGGAGGACGGAGGCTATTACGAATTAGGGTAATGAGGAAGGGAAGGAGGGCGATAGCAAAGATAGAAAAGATAGAGAAGAAGAAGCAAGGAGTCTTTATAGGAAGCAAGAGGGAGACAGTCACCACCATGGATCTAGCGTGGTTTGTAGTTCAGTCTTTGATCTTCAGTAGTGGTGGGTCGTCAGGCATTGTTCTGTTGACGACGAGGAGAATGATGGGAACGACGGCCATGACCATGGCGATGACAGCCCCTTTTCAATAGTTTCAAAGTGGTCGAGTCAGCTGTCTTTGGAGTGACAGCTCAAATCCAATGTGGTTGAGTCAGCTCTCCTTGGAGCGGCAGCTTCTGGCTCTGGGATCTCAGCAGAAACTCCTTTGTTCCCATCTTCTGGGCCTTGCCAGCAGACAAGAGGGAACAGGGATGCCTATCTGCATCTTGTTTTTCACAGAACACGATGGTATAATTCCCCAATTTTCCCATACCAAGCTGGAGCTCTTTAGTCACAGGCCAGATCTTCTGCCAGTGAACACTCCTGAGCACTCTATTCCGGAGGCAAGCAGCTCTGGAGGAAGGGGCTTTCAAATGTTCCCAAAGTGATACCGATTGTCACATGGTTAGCACCCATCACTTGCCTCCTTAACAAATCATTGAGAGTCTTATCACAAGAAAAACCTCAGGAAGCAAGCTTTGAGCCAAAAAACAAAGGATTCTCACAATTAGAAACAGGAAAGAAGAAACAGATTTAGAAAGAGAGAAAGATTTAGAAAAGGGAATGGAAAAATAATTAATAAAGGAAAAAGAATTGGAATGGGAATTGTAATATGTTGAAGAAAATAAAATACGGAAAGGAATATGACTAAGAAAAGGAACATGAAGAAAAAGAAAAACAATTGGAAACACAGAATTGGAAACAGAATTATCAAAAGAAAAAGAATTAGAAAGAAATAGAAAAAATTCAAAACAAAAAAGAATTTGAAAAAGTCTTAAGAAAACAAATTAGAAAGAGAAAGAAAAGGAAATAAAAGAACAAGGAGAGAAAAGAAAAAGGTAAAAATAAAAAAACGAAGCAGAAAACTATTCGGAAAAGGAATTGGAAAAGGAATTGGAAAAAAGAAAAGCAGTAGAATTAGAAAGTGGATTAGGAAATGAAAATTATAAAAAGGGGGGAAAAATCAAAGGGAACTGGAAAAGGAACTGGAAAAGGAGAAAGACAAGAAGTTAACTCTGGATACCCCAAGTCTTACATGGCACGCACTAGAAGCCTGTTTTGCAACCTACCTCTTCTTTTTGCATCTCACTTGGTCAAAGCAGAGCAGTCACCATTTGGGCTCACTGTAGCTCCAACTAGGCGTAGATTGGCAACATGAAACACAAGAAAAATGAGAAACATTGCATAACGTCAAGAAATGATATTGAACCTAAAAAGAACAAACCCATGTTTGGTGGGAGCGACAGAAGGCAGAGACATCACATCAGTACTTGCGAGCCCTAAAGATGGGGGAAAAGAAAGAATACCTGGTGAAAGCCATGTGAGTGCAAGAGACAACTGATGCTGAGCCCAAAGAACTTCTACAAGTGTGGGAGCAACTTCAGAGATCAACACAGCTTGCCAGACAGAGTAAGGAGTGGATATTGGCATCCATCTATGGCTGTAGTTTTCTACTATAAACACAATGAGCCTCAGTAGAGTCCTTGCACCACTCGGGAGAGCCGCAGTTTTTCCACCACCGCTCACTGGACACAAGATAAGTAGACGTCACCATCAGGTAATGATGAAGGAATCAGTTCCCCTTTCCAAGGATCAGGGCACAACCAGCGCTACAACCCGGGGAGGCTTGAAAGGCCAATGCCATCTGATAGTGGAGTCTCCAACCCTAGAAGGAAAGAAGAAACCTTCACGTCTGGTACTGAACAACATGGGGCAGGGAGAAACAGAGGTAGTTCTCGATACTCCATGTCGTACACAGCACTCACTAGAAGCCTGTTTTGGAGCCTACCTCTTCATTTCACATCACACTTGGTCAACACTTAGTTGTATGCATTCGGGTCACCCAAGCTCCAACTAAATGTTGATTGGCAACATGAAAAACAAGACAAGACAAACGCTGCGTAATGGTAAGAAATGATACTTAATGAAAAGCAAACAAAACCCTATTACAAAGCAAAGAACATGCCCTATTACCTTGATGCTCACCTTTTCCCCTGATTCCTCATTGCCTGAGTATTTCAGGTTCACAGACCTTCCCGATGCTTAACTGTACATGGGCATACTGGCTAAATAGAAACTGTTGCTAGCTAAATGTTTATCTATTGCTAATGGCTTACATTCTCCTCCTTAAATTTTCTATCATCACTGAGGTCCTGTCTGACCAGCATCAAAAATCAGTAGTCTTGCAACATAATGAGCCTACTGATATCATTGTCAAGGGTTTTGGATTTCTAAAGGCATTATCGTAATGTTTAGGAGCGCGATGTCTATGTTGTCTGGAACTCAAGGCTCAGAGGTATTCCAGATGGCTGGACAGATAACAGCAGCAGTCCTTGTACCCATACATTCATTACTCCATCTACCCACTGAGCAAGCACCAATGTGGAAAATTCATCAAACAGGCAAGTGAAGGAGACCCTCAGAGACTCCTGATGAAATAAAAACACTCCCAAAAAGAGCTGTTAGTACTTAGTAGTACTAAGTAGTAATTAGTAGTAGTAAACAAACAACACAAGACTGGAGCAGAGACAATGACGTAAAATACTCACGTTTTAGTTCTAATGCAGAAACAACATTCCATTCCTACATAAGTACACAAACACTGTGTAACCTCACAAAATGACTACGTTTGAGGAGCACGTTGCTCCATGACAGCTCGTGCAGTGGGAGAATGAAGAATGCCTGAATCCAGGTCTGTGATCTGTTTTGGTAGCATGTGGGGTCACTTCTGGAGACTGCAGGACTATGGCATGACACGCAGCCCACTGGCAGGAAGGGGAGAGCATCAAGATCTGCTAGCAAGAAAGAAGAAGAAATCCCTGAGTCTTTTTTCTCCACAAGCATTTGTGATTCTTTCTCCTCTGCAGGGAAAAAAATAAACAAAAAAACTCCATTGTGATTCAGTCCCAGCACAATGATTAGGTGTATGGTATGTACTGAAGCATTGTGTATTAGGACAAAAGCTGCGGGAGAGTTAGTGACAGGATCATAAGTAAAACTAACTAGACGCCCAGTACTGCCAATATGGGCATGGGACCGTGACCAGCCAGTGACTGTGTTAAGGTCATCATAAGCAATTACAAAAATTAATCTGAAGAAGATTCCTGTCCAAAGCAGTAACACCAATGATACCACAGGGATCCCAGACAAAGGAGCAGAGTGAGAAGGGAACATGTGAGCTACAGCAACAGTATCAGCATTCGTTAGCATCTGGAAAACAAGAGAGAACTTCCTGGTTCCAAAGAAACCAAGGTTATAAGAAGCAAAACTGGAAAAGAAAACAAAACAAAAATAAGACTTCCTGGTCCTAAATGAACCAAAGTTAGAAGGGAGGTGAAATCCAGATGGTTAATTTTGTACAGTTCCTCCTGATCATCTTGAGGCTTCCACAAGTATTTGTGAAGAGTCTCCCTGAGGGTTAAAGGGACAGGACCACAGTGGGGCAAATCAATCAACAGCAGTTGTCCTGGGGAGTAATCATCCCAATAAGCAGCTCTTGGAGTAAGGGACCACTGGCAGTGGTTGCCCGTGGTGAAAAATATTCCAGGTCCCCAATAACCCTCTGATTCCTTTTCAGTCAGCAAGATCTTACCTCCCTCTGTTAATGGCACTTTCCACACATACTGATTTCCTAAGGGTGTCACCAAAATCCTTCCTTACTTTGGCCGGCTCCGTAGCAAACAGGGAACTTTGTCAGTACGAACATCAGAATACCCACTGCCAGTCTCTTCCCATGCACGCCCGGTTTCTATCTAAAGGCAGGGAAGGATCACAGGTTTCCCAACTTGTCTTTTTGGGCTCTCACATCCTCAAGATTTTCTCCTGGAGGAAAGTCACTACCTGGGGAACTAGCATCTATCTCCCTGTCATTTACCAACTGTTCTCTAAGGGCTTGCTGAGGGAGGCCTTTTGAATGTTCTTCTTTTTCTGTCCCCTAAGATCTTCTACTTGGTACTGCAGATATGTCACCAATTCCTGAAAGGATTTTATAATTTGGGTTTCTACCATGTGCTGTTCATTGCGGATCTCTATGGCAGCGCTAAGAGCAGCTCCTGGAACTGCACAAATGATTGATATTCCCTTTTCCTCCCCCATACAAATTTGCTTGTGGAGGGAATTTAATATGACCCATGACTCCCTCGAAGTTGGACCAATTATTCCATGCCCATTTCATCTCCACGGGGGAGAGTTTGGCACTATGCTTTTTTAAGAGACTGAGGAGCAGATTCCTGCTCTATTTTTTTTTTTTTTTTTGTAACCATCATGCCTCAAAATGTGGAGCAATCTCTTCATGGAAGGGTGGGGGGGGAACATGTACCGTCAACAACTTGCTCCTTACACTCCCAAAGTGTACACGCACACTCTCTTCTACCAGTAAGGCAGTTGCTGATACCACCTGGACACAGCCACACGTTCAGGCCAACCCTGAGATACAGGGTCTAATACCTTGAACAACTATGAATAGGTTTTCTTTTGTCTCCCTATTTTTGTGTTAGAATGCCTAAAACAGCTCTTTCACTGACAGTTATCAAAAGGTGAAATGGTTCCTTTAAGGCAGGCAGCTCTAACACAGGTGCTGTGATTAAGTCCTGTTTCAATACTTCTACTAATTCTTTTCCCTCTTTTGTCCATTTTAATATGTTGGGTTCTCCCTGTGATAGTTGGAGATACAATCTTTGTTTCTTGTACATATTCTTCTATTCACAAAATACAGAATGCAATCAAACCTAGAAACTTTTGCCGCTCCCTCTTTGTCCTGGGCAAATGAAGCTGCACAGTGCCCTGAATTCCTTCAGAACTCTCCATTTCCCTTCAGAAATCACATGCCCAAGGTATCTGACTTCTTTTTCCACATACTACAGTTCAAACAGCCCTAGCCCATATTCCCAAGAAATTCGGAGTTTTACTTAGTCTCTTACTTTAGACTCCTCTTTTCCACAACTCAGCAAATCATCTACATACTGAAACAGCTTCACCTCCTCTTCAACCTGAAACTTTTCCAAGACTTTCTCCAGCACTGAATTAGTTAAAACAAAAATAAAATATAAAATATATAATGTATATAAAATAATACATAATAATACAATATATAATATCTATAATAATATAATACATAAAATATAATAAAAATAAATTAGGCGATTCTATGTACCCTTGGGGTAAAGCAATCCACCTCTCTTGCTATTTTTGTTGCATTTTTGGATCCTCTCATTCAAGGGCAAAAAGATCTTGACTCTCTGAGTCTAAAATACAGGTCCCAAAAGCATCTTTGAGGTCTGTTACACTGAACCATTTGTGTCTGTGTGGGATTTGACTCATTAAAGTATAGGGGTTAGGAAGCAGGGGGGTCACTTGAGAACTATTTCATTAATTTTCCTTGGATCTTGTACCGGTCGATAGGTGCCATCTGCCTTCTGTAATGGCAAAACTGGAGTGTTATAGGGTGACACAGAGTCCCAGAAGACCATCTTAACCAATGTTTGTATTACAGCCTTTAGACCCATTATCCTTTCTAAAGGCATGGGGGGATAACTGTCCCTGTTTTGCAGCTTCACTCCCTCCTTGGACAGTTATTGTTAAGGAAGTAATTCCGAGTCCACCCAGTTTCCTTCCCCTGCTCGCACCTTTGGATTTCTTTTTCACTAGCAGTTATTAATAGATTCACTGACACCTTTATACCTGTTTCACAAGTTTTCAACTGCAATCCTAGAGCTGTTCAGCAGCTTTCTTTGTGAAAGGCGAATTATCCTGTGCTACATACAGAACTACTGGAAACTTCCACTGCAAAAACACAACCTACCTCTCACAAGGGGGAGAGCAGTGCAGATGGTATGCAGCAGCTATGCACAGCGTGCCTTTCACTTGCTTTTCCTCTCTCCATCTTCCATTAGCAAGCAGCATCTCCAATCTTTCCTTGCTAAAAAATCACTTCGGTAAAAAAGAACTGGCAAGCTCGCTTTAAAAATTTCCTTACTATACAACTTGATGCTTTAAAGCAGAAGCTCTCCCAGCAGTGACCTACGTTAGACAAGCTCAACTTTTGAGAGAAAAGTTATTCCTCTGCCTCTGCAGACTTTGCACACATTGCCAGGGGCAGCAGCCCAGTTCTCAGCACAGCTTTAGCAGCCACAGAAACCCAGTTGATGCCCGCTGTGCTTTTCTCTCTTCTGAAACACCGTGCTGCTGCAAGAAGCAAGGAGTAAAATCACAGAAGAACAGAACTGGGCCTGGAAGGACCTCCAGGGATCACTGAGTCCAACCCCCTGCAAAACGGGTTCCTACAGCAGGCTGCGCAGGTGGGCGTCCAGGCGGTTCTGGAATATCTCCAGACAAAGAGAAGCCACAGCCTCCCTGGGCAGCCTGTTCCAGAGCTGCGCCATCCTCACCGAGAAGAACTCCCTTCTCATCCACGGGCGGAACTTCCCGTGCTTCACTTTACAGCCATCTCCCTTTGCTTGGGGCCGCGCAGGGCTCCTCTCCCTGTCCCGCACACCTCTGGCGGAGCTGCCCTCAGCACTCGCTCCCGTTGTGCCTTGGCTTCCGCCTCGCTGCTGCCAGGACAGCAACGGCTGCCACCGAGGTTTGTCGCACCTCCAACAGCCGGCTCCCAACGACCGCTCCCGAGCACGGCAGCTAAGCCAATTGCAGCCGGCGGACCTACTGCGGATCAAGGAATCCCCGGGGGAGGGGACAGCGCTGACGCTAACCAATGAGAGACTGCCAGGGGTGGGACAGAGCTGATGCTGACCAATGAGACACCGGGTCTGAGTGAGCTCGTCATGCCGCAGCGTGATGGTGACAGGGCTGCAGATGTTCTGCACAGACAGCCCGGAGGTTGGGAGCCAGGAATGGACGCGGCTGGAGGAGAGAGGTGTTAGGCAGCAGCCAAGGCATCACAAGGCATCAAAAAGCCCTGAAAGGCATCACAAAGCCACCGCCAGGAAGCTTGGGGTTATCACCAGCAGCATCCAGGATGCTAGAAATTATTTGCTACCGTACCAAATGGGAGCTGCAGACACCCCAAAGCCAGACAAAACGGGAACTAACCCCGAGCTCTGCTTCGTGCACCCCACAGCCTCAGCGTTGCAAGCTGAAGTGCCTCATTGTTTGTTGCATTCATCCCAGTCCTCGTGAATGAAGACTCCACAGGCAGTCAAGGTGTTGAGTGAGCACAAGTGTGGTTTTATTATTAAAGGAAAAGACAGGAGGGCGTGAGAGGTCCAGGTAAAGATGGGAATCGTCCTCTCTTGGATGGAAAGGTCACGGAGAGAGTGGCTCAGAGCTCTCAGAGCCGCTGCACGGTGCCTGGGACTAGAGGCCTGATTCTAAGTCCCCGTCCATGAGGCACGGCTTCTCCTCACTGTTGCTGACCTGCTCCTGCACGGAGGTGCTGCTGTCGGGGCACTCAGGCTGTGCTTGGGCTGGGCTGCACTGCAGAGGCACCGGGTCACAGTCCAGGCTGGTGCCTGTGGTGTCTGGCAGGCTCAGGTCAGCATCTTCAGCAGAGCCGGGAGAAACGAGGGCTTGGACTTGGATGAGCTCCTCGTGTCCGTCACTGTTGTTATGCGGCAGGCTGTCAACTGAACCGCAGCCATTTGTGCTTCCTAACAGCTCTCCATTGGTGGAAGCACACAGCCCAGCATCGCTACTTGCTCTGGCACATCTGGGTTGACAAGAGCTCGAATCGCCTATAAAAGAATGAACAGGGGTTGGTGTCAAACTCTCCCAAGCTGAATTACAAAAGTGGTTCTTAATCAGGGGAGAACTGAAGCTGTCAGGTATGGGCTGGATTGCTAGAAGGAGATACAAGCCCACTGACAGCAAGAATTCTACGTTGCTGAGAAGCAGGGTGTTGAAAGCAGGATTTGCACCCTTACCTGCCAGGACTACAACGTCTGTCTCTGAGGGCTCCCTGGGACGGCACTGCGGTTGGCGTTTGGCCCCAGAAGATGGTTTTCCCAGGCTGAAGCAGGAACACCAACAGCCACCTGGTGATTCCTTCATCCTTCCCAGTGGACTTGGTCTGGAGAGAAGAAACAGGGAATGGTGTGAGTTGTGCATGGAACTCCAAAAGCATCTCTGACTCTGACACTGACAGCTCATC